TATAATAGCTTCAAGTCTACTCGACCCTGAAGTAGAAGCCGAAGCCATCCGGCTAGGAGTTGTCTCCGAAGAAGAAGGATCAAGACGTCCGCCACAAACTCGCTACCATGCGCGACATACGCCATTCCATTGTTTCGGTCGAGAGGCGTCTGCAGCTAAGATGGCGCTTGGTAGTGTACCTGTCTTGACTCAGGGGTTGGCTCGGTACGAGCTAGTCGGCGCCAGCTTCGTCAGCCTGAACTTCAGACGACGCGGTCGAAGGGTCAGGATGTCTTCCTTGCTGCACTCGTCGCGACCGACCTCCCGCGCCCTTCCGAATTATCGCTCAAGTCTTATCGCCGTAAGGGTGCCTCGTACGACTGGCCTTGGCCCTGGATGAAGGCGTGTCCGTCCTGGAGATGTCGCCGCGGAGGCCTTCGCGCTCGTCGCCATGGTCAACGGAGAAGCTGAGCCGGCCAACTCCATGATGTCCTGTGTAGCTGTACCATTGTCGTCGGTCCTGCCCTATCTTGCAGACCGCGAGAAGAGGCTGAGGTCCGCAATGCTTGCGTCGTCGTCGGTCGCGCTCTGCTGGTAGAAGAATCGGTCTTGCTGCCTGCGTACATGACTGCTCGCGATGTCAGTATGGCCGGCACTCCAAAAGAGAAGGTGCTGCACCTGTCCATGTATGCGTCTCTCGCACTGCCCGCTCCGTCGCTGCCGGGTTGTGTCGCTGCGTCAAAGAGGTCCAGGAAAGCAAGCTGCTCCGCCCGCCGCCGCCGGGCTTCTTCCAGATTGTGCCGCGGGGACCATCGCACGCGCGTGAGCCAAAGAGAAGAGTGTCGTCGCTCTTTGCACGCTGTATAGTGTCCTTGGTCGTGGCGGCGGTCGGCGTGGTGTGTGAGTCGGTATGGCTCAGAAGAGGGCAGCAAGCAAGCCCTTCGTACGGAGCAAACGTATTTCGCCGCCACCACCGATAGTATACCGAGAATGTCTTCGTAGTACTGTCGGCGACCTAGCGATTAGCCACGAAAGACACGTAGGCGGTAAAGAGCGGTATGAAATGTGTCGTCGTCGCCGCTGGTGAGGCTGTGGGGGCAAGCTGCTACACCACCAACGGGCTTCATGATAGACTGCCGTGGCCCGTGCGCCCCACATTGAGATTCTGCGTCCTCACGGTAGACGGCGACAAGGGTCTCAGGAGTGCTGCACGCAGTGGGAATAGCATGCCCGGGAGGTACACAGTCAGCTCTGACGAGCTCGAGACATGCCCGACATGTTGAGGCACAGCATACGACTGCAAACCTGTGGGTGAGGAGCGGACTTCACAGTGCACCAAGATACCTACGGATACGACAGCGAGATCATGGAATTTGTGAAACCATAGGCAGGCAGATGCCGCGAGGCTTGAGATGCGATATCTTAGACTTTGATAGGGGACGTAGTATCAAAGTTGAAGATATTCATTCCATGTCTATACTGTAGGCATGCTGTGAGGCCAATGCCCCCCTGAGCCAGCCCCCTCGTGAGGGTCAGAAGACCCAGATGCTCTTTCCCCGCCAGCGTGCACCGTAGTGTCACGAATTACGTGTCATGAGAGAGAAGAGGGGTAGAGTTTCGCGTCGCTTCTTCTTCCCTCTTCATCTCATTCTACTTCACTCTGAACTTTTGCTGTGGACAGCATTCGCCATGCCCCCTTCAGTATCGCTGGCGATGCACCAGTACTATTGTACCTGCTGGTGTTGATACGCCCAATGCCGCAGCACGCGAGGGGAGTCAGTTGGTCACTGCCCTTTCGACGGCACCAACCCCAGGATGAGCACAACCGTGTCCGCCGTGAGCGCAAGCCTCATCACCGTCGACAAGTCGGTCATTCCACCACACAACGCCAGTGACAAGCCTCCTGAGCTGCTGGGAGCTGTCTTCTGTCATCTCTTGTATTCTGTGAGCGAAATCTGGACGCGTTCGGATCCCTCGTTGCTACTTTCCGTCGCGACTTCCAGATGAGCCATGTCAGTCCCACCCTGAGCTCATCACCATCGCACATACATGTGTACCCACTCCACATACCCCGGAAATACATTCACATGCCTGGACTATGTTCTCGACGAAGTCTTTACTTCGCCCCTAGGGTCGAACGCAAGTCACATCACTGTCTCTACGTCGAAGGCGGCCAAGATGCTGAGCATCTCAAGTTCCTGGTTCAGAACCAGATGAAGCGTTACTGCCATCACGTCGGCAAGCAGATGTCCTAGACCTCCCTCCCCAAGCCGCCTGCCCATACTGTGGGCTACGACTCAATGCTCACACCCCTCGCTTGATCATAAGATGCCCACCACGTAGTACGTTCGTCGCTTCCGACGTCGGATACGCCTTCATCAACTTTACGGACGTCGCTGGCATGCTCACTGAGCACTTCCTGGTCAGACTGCTATGCACCACGCTCAGCAGCACGCCGCTCCCCTCCAGTTCGCCGGTTTGACTGAGGCTCACACCTGTCACGGCGCTCCCCACGGGCAAAGAGAAGGGCAAATTCTTGAGCATCGATGTTGGTGGCACGAATCTGAGAGTCGGCTTTGTTGAGCTAATCGGAGAGCCAGATGGCGGCATCACCGTCGTCAACTGGCCGCAATTCCCATTGGCAAGCAGGCGTACAAGACCTCCCTCCCAGAGTCGCCGGCCTACGTTGTGGGCTACGGCTTATAATCACGACCCTCTCTTGATCATTAGATGCCCAAATCTTCGTTGGTGGCACAAATCTAAGAGTCGGCTTTGTTGAGCTAATCGGAGAGCCAGATGGCGGCATCACCGTCGTCAACTCACTGCTATCCCAATTGGCAAACAGGCCGCAAAGAAGTTTCTTCCAGAGGCCCCGGCCTCAACCGTGTCCGCCGTGAGCGCATCCTCGACGGTAGCGATGTTCGAACCACCGGCATGCTACGTTGTGGGCTACAACTTATACTCACACCCCTTTCTTGATCATCATCTGTCCATCTCTTCGTTGGTAATCCCAACGCGCCACAGCAGGCAGGAGGGCAAGATTGGCAGAGTCGTATTCCCAACCTTGGAAGCTTGCGGAAATCACGGTGCGGCTGAGCACTTCTCTCAGCTTGCATTTACAGCAGACCGTTGCCAGTCAAGGAACCCGGGACGGCCTGTCTGCACATCTTGCATCCCTCATCCCCCTTCGATGGCACCAACCCAACGGTATACTCTCCCGATGTCGACCGGATGTCCAATTGACACGTGGGGACTCCGAGGGGAATTCAACGCGGGATTGGATTCCCGCATAAGAGTGCAAGCGTTTGGCAGCGTCGGCTCACTCGAGCGCAAGCCCCACCACCATGTCTCAAGGAGACCAAAGACGGAGGAAGTATCGTTGGCGCCGGGGTACTTGCAGGTATGACAGATGAGACAGTGTATGAGTGAATGGGTCATCTCTTGCCTTCATTACATCCACCTCTTGTACATTACCAAGACCCTTCTTCGACGTCATGTCTCACCCTTCACCAAACTCCTCATCGGCCAACGACCCTCCAGGATCTGGAAGCTGCAGACTGTATGCCGCCTTCCCAACCAGATTGGTACATCTGCATCACGCCTGCAGTTCACGACAAAACGTGGGAAGCTTTCCCCTCGGGCACACAAATCGCAGTGTCGATCCCGATGACACACATTCAGCTGTACTTCGAGGAGCAGCCACCGTCGTCACTCACGTCCCACCCCCTGTGAACATCGCTTCCAAAAGAGTATGGCGTCGACTCCTCGTCGTCCAGCCCGCGGATCCGATAGCGACAACTGGCGCGGAGAGTCCGGGCAGATCGCTCTGCAGGCTAGCGATGGCCATTCCAGTTCCCCAGCTCGACACATCACGACCCTGCCCCGAAGAACATTCTCGACCAGATCTGCTTCGGCACTTACGACATCGTATACCTCCGCATCGATTTCATTGCTCTGTCGGGCATTCCATGCGATCATGCCAACGATTTTTTACTGTTACCGACAAAAGGTTTTGTCCTGTCCAAGGCATCAGACGATTGCCCGAGATGATCACTCAAGGCAATGAGTACCGCCACCACTTCAGCACGTTCGACCGCAGCAGCAGCCCTCGTGACAATTACCAGACTGCTATGCACCATGCTCAGCAGCACGCCGCTCCACTTCAGTTCGGCGGCGGCGGCCACCGCGGCCCCATCCCCTTCGACTCGATTCAGATAACCCATATTCAGCTGTATGTACTGGGGTGCCACTACATGTACGAACGGCCTCTTCCTCGCCCGGACAACATCTCGAAGTTGCAGCGCTCCATGGAAAGTGTTTCAGCCACGACGATGCAGAGGACGCCGTACTGTCGCCCCCATCTCTCGGTCACCCGTGATGGGACCGAGTTGATGTCAATGGGATCATCTCGGCTTCATCCTGGGTTACCAAGAGATGAGGACGACAGTATGGTGTCTCTTGCATCGACGTGGCTGGAGCATTGACTATGGAAAGGCTGTACTTCATCTTCCGGTCATTGCGTACGGCAACAAGACCCATCTTCAGTCGGCATCACGCATGGCAATGTCAACGACTTCACGGTTACATCCAATAATCTCCTCACGTCAAAGTCACCAGCGACCGGCGAAGACAAACAAGCAAGTCAATGATCAAGACATCACCACACCAAGTCACGAAGCAAGAGAAGGAACAAGTTTGGTGAGCAAAGCTCATGAAGTTTTGATTGGAAAAGCAAGTATTAGGTACATTCAGGTTCATCAGTGGCATCCATCATCAGGTCAGATCTTCTTTCAATCCGCCAACCATCCACATCATGAACAAATCGCATCGAATCCGACCCAGAAGACATGCACCCGATACAGTGTGTCAATAGCCATACCGATCAAATCGTAAAGAAAAGTCCTGGTCTGACAAACATCTGGGAACAGATTGAAAACAAAGAAAGAAGCCGTGTACTCGTTGCGCAAGGTCTAGCCGGATGAGACGTTGCGACCGTGTATGCGTAGGTGGGTAAAAGGTGTTTACATCCATCGCTTGCGGTTGCCCTGGGAGGGACCAGAGGAGCCTCCACGCCAGTTGTCGCTATCAGAACCGCGTCCCGAACGACGAGGGGTGCCGTTGCCGCTGCCGGAAGAACGAGCCATGGTCAGACGAATTGGCGCAAGATGGGGGTGCTCCTCGAAGTACAGCTGAATATGGGTCATGGGGATAGAGTCGAAGGGGATGGGTCCACGGTGGCCGCCGCCGAAGACGTGCAGGTACCAGGCCTCGATCTTCTGCTTCTGAGCCTCAGTCAAGCCGGCAAACTGGAGGGGCGCGGCGTGCTGCTGCGCGTGGTGCATAGCAGTCTGGTAGTTGTCGCGAGGGCTACCGCGGTCGAAAGTGCTAAAGTGGTGGCGATACTCAGTACCGGATGAGTAAGCTCGAGGAGCAAACAGACCAGTGCTACGAGCACTATCGATGGAGCGCTGCAACTTCGAAATGTTGTCGGGGCGGGGGAGAGGCAGCTCGGTACCGGCGTGGCGAATGGAGTTCATCAACTCGGCCTCATCCTGAGTGATAAACAGGCGCGGGCGGCAGTAAGGAGTCTCCTGCATGACAGAGGAGTTCCTGAACTTCTGCACAAGCGCCTCGCGTCCCTGGATTGTCGCATACGAGATCCCGAACTTCTTGTCGGAGATGAAACCAGGCCAGTAGCGGAACTCCATCTCGAGGAGCATGAGCATCCCACCGACATCCGTGAAGTTGATGAAGGCGTATCCGACGTTGGCACACTTCTTGAAATCGATGCGGAGGTATACGAAGTCGTAAGTGCCGAAGCAGATCTGATCCAGGATGTTCTTGAGCGTCATCTGTCAAAAGAGTTAGCAAGGCTTCGGGACAGACGTGGAAGGAAGGACTTACCCAGTCGCAATTTGCCGGGATGTTGCGGAGCATGACCGTGGTGCGAACATCGCTGCCGTCGAGGATGCGCTCACGACGGACACGGTTATGCTCATCCTGGGGGTCTTCGTTGCGGAATTGACCGCGGTACGGGCGACGAGTATCGCCGCGATGTTGGAAGCGGTGAGAGCCCAGCGGACGCTCATCGACCCAGTCACCGACGTTGATGGTGGACCAGAAGTACGATCTCTGTGAGAAGGTTAGCAAGAACAGAAGAGTTGGAAGTGAGGTGCTTACATCAGCACCGAAGCCATAGACAGGCGTGCGGCGAAGAGACTGGATGGCGCGCTGTGCAGCGTCGATGGAATCGAACTCGATCCGGAAGATCAGTCGCATCTCATCGTGAACAGTGTCGACGTGGACGACGTTGCGGACGATACCGAACTCCCTCGCGATGAGGTCGACTTGGTGCTTGATGTCCTCGTAGTCCTCAGCAGTGAACTCCCAAACGGCGTGCTCGGGGTTCGCGTCGATGAACATTGACAAGAACATCTGGCCTTCGAACGGTTGGATATCGCGGATGTCCTTGGGCATGGAGCGCGCGAGGTCGTCCATAGTTGCGTAATGAGTGGCGAAGCCGGCCTGGATGAGTAGGTCCCGAGCTTCGATGGCGTCGGAAAGGCTGTCGAATCGAATGAAGATAGCGGCGTGAGGATCCTGAAGGAAGATGGCCGAGTGCTTGAAGCAGTCGTACTGCAAGAGGTTAGTGTGAAGCATGGTGGAGGAAGGGGACGACACTTACGCGCTTCATCTGGTTCTGCACCAGGAACTTGAGATGCTCTGCATCATGGCCGCCTTCGACGTACAAGTACCGAGAGACGAAGGTGTTGACGAACTCATCAAGCTCATCGACGAAGGCACCCTCGACATACGCCGGCGGCTCAGGAAGAAATTTCTTGGCAGCCTGCTTGCCGATAGGGATTGCGGTCAGTTGACGACGGTGGTGAGGCTTGCGCTCGTTGTCCGGGGAGTAAACTGTTGGGTTGGTGCCCTCGAAGGGGGATGAGGGAGGACCGTTGGCCGACGAGGAGTTTGGTGAAGGGTGAGACATCTTGAGGTGTCGATGAAGGGTCTTGGTATTGTACAAGAGGTGGATGTAATGAAGGCAAGAGGTGGATGATTGGCAAAGCTCAAGCAAGGAGTCTGTCAATATCAGGTGGGGATGGGGATTTGAGTGGGTGTGAGTGGGCAAGAGATGGAAGGCGCGGGGGAAGGGCTGTTTATATACTGGCACTAGCGCCGAAGCTCCGGAGGTCAGGTGACGGCAGTATCTGAGGCCAGAGAACTCACCGTTCGGATTGGGAGCAAAAGAGTCAGAGAGAAAGTCGTGGTGAGGAAGTCGCGGCGAGGGCTGGCGGAGGAACTGGAAGGAAGCGATTCGGATATCCCACAACTCCAGGAGAACCACCAACCTGACGGGGCCAGACGAGCATGAGGAGATAGCGCTCGACGAGCTCTACAACTTCTGTTTTTCAGGCATACGAGGCATCAATGGAGTTGGTGATGCATCGCAGCTGCAAGACGAAGCCTGAGGTTGAAGTTCCATCCCTCAACCGCTTTTGCACGTTATCTCGAGGACCCACTCACCGGTTCTAGCGTCGTCCAGGACGTCTGGCCGCGTAATAGCGGGCACCGGAGTGGCAGGACGACAGGAGTGGCAGGAGCGTGAAGGAGCGCCGGAGATGTGAAAGTGCGTGAGAATGGTGCAAGAAGAAGCCTGTGCAGCGAGTTGGAAGATGGATGGGAGTGCTGTGAGCTGCTTAAATGTCTACGTGGCATTGCCAAATCTCCCACTCATCCACGTGGAAGTGAGAGAAATTGCCAGATTTCATTGACCGAAAGCTGGGGAACCCCCTCAGACACGCCTTGGAAGCGTGTTGGTGGATCTCACGATGTCCGCGGGGAGCTCATGAGGCCGGCACATGCACATTGTCAGCTGGAAGCGTGTGCAACGAGCGGGGGGCGATCAAGAGCATGATTCCCAGACGCGTAAGCTTCGCCGCGTCATTCTGTTTGTTGAGGCAGCAGCGGCTGCTTGTGGCAAGCAGGAAACAAACACGGTCGTTCTAGGAAGGCACGCTGAAGCGGGGTGGAGAGCAACTCCAAAGCTGAACATCGTGGAGACGGTGAGACTCCAGAAAACGTGGCATCGGGAACCAGCTTCTTGGGAAACAACACCTCACCCCTGAGATTCAGCAGCTTCTTGTGAACTCAGAGGCCGCGGGAATGGTGCCGAGCCCGCTGGACAGGCAGGCGCGATTCCAAGTATGCAGACAGCTTCACAGGGGCGCGGGGATGACCATTCGCATGATTGGGATTGAAGACCGCCACGGGAAGGACGAGAAGATCATCAGTAGAGACTCAGCATTCTTTGGTGTCCGCTGTTCTTCGGCGCGCTTCGTGGCTGCCAAAACGGCAGGAGCTAGAATTCGCGACTCCAAGCATGCAGACAGCTTCGCGGGGGCGCGGACTGATCACTTGCATTTCCGAGACTGAAGACGACCGTGAGCTCGACGAGAGGCTCATCAAGAAGAACTCCGCATTACGTAGTAACCTGTGCTCTCGAGCGCGCTTCGTGACGGCTGAAGGGGCGGAGCCTGCCGGTTTGCGACTTCGGGGTTGCGGCCAGCTTCAAAGGGGCGCAGACATCGTCACTTGCATTATTGGGAACAGAGACTGTCTCCAAGACGACATCGAGCTCGTCAGCAGAAACTCAGCATTACATGTGAGCTCTGCTGTAGAAGGCGGTCCGCGACTGCCTCAAGGGCGGGGCTACAGATTCGCGACTCACGGCAGGAGCGACGACAGCAAGGGGCAGAGCAACATCCGGGCACGTAGACTGAATGGTAACATTCACTGAACATTCACGGGAAAAGCGCTGCTCGAATGGCGACCCTCAACATGCTCTCCGAAAAGGAGGCCTCAAGGCCCTTGCGACCTCCGCGACGACGACTCGAGTGGCCTGGACGGGCGTGAACAACTTCAGGCTCTACTTTGGCATCATAAGAATCATTCAGTCACCCATGAACATCGCATGACGGACGTGGACCGCTTGTCGCGAGGCTGCGCGAATGGCCCCTTCAAGGCTCAGGGTCTCGCGGGCTGACAGACCGCGCGACGAGAACATCACGACCTTTGCGGCAGGCAGGCACAAGCGACTTCAAGATGTAGACCGGGAGCGTCTACTACTCCAGATCTGTAGCTACTGCATTGCCCCTTTCCCTTAGACCAATTCCGTCATGTTGGCTGTCCGCGGCCAAAGGCTCAACTCCACAACGCAGGTCAGGGAAACCGCGCGATGGGACCATCACCATCCTCACGATGAGACTGCGACTCGGGGCACCAGAAAGTATACGGAGAGCATGAATTGGCCCTGGCCTGTAGCTACTGGACTGCCCCTTTCCCGGTAGAGCCGTGCCTTCCATGTCCGTTGTCCAATGTCCGTCAACCTTTTCCGCCTCTCCTCAACTTCAGTATCGGTCCAACTCTACGCCGCCCGATCGCACGATAGCCTAGAGCTGCTGTCATTCGCGTCGGGGGCGCAAGGCGAGAAAGGATTGTCAGCCTCGTCGCTGGCGGACAGGGCGCTGCCTCCTCCGCTGTCCGACTCGACTGCGACATACCCTCGACCCAAGGGCTGGCAATTGAGTACAAGAACCTTCTCATTGTCTTGCCGTATAGTCTCCTTCCCATTGTGTGCCTCCGCATGTCCCTGTTGTGCCTCCACCTTGTATACTCGATCTCGTTCGTACGGTCGGGGCGCTTGCGGCAGCGGCTTGAGGCGTATACGATCGAAGGTTAGGAGGACGCCGGCGGTGTCTCGAGGGAGGGCGGTAGCTACATCGCGCTGTAGAAGAGCTCGTCGAAAGGCGTCGCCGTAATGAGGGCGTCGGGGTAAAATATGTACTTCACCCTCGCCGATACATACCCCACTTCGGATATCCTACACCAAAACATTAGCCCGCCTCGCCCTCAATAGCAGCAGGCGGTCCTCCCAGCCTCGCTGAATAACGCCGTCACCGTCACTACGCGTAAAGCGCTCAACAATAGCGAAGCCAGACCGTCGCCAGTCGCAGTCTTGGCACCCCCAAAGCGCCCACATAAAAGCTCAAAAACCAGCTTCCCCAACACCCCAAACCAGCACCAACAAGCCCATCACCACCATCACAACAAGCTCAATTACTACCACCACTACTACTACTACTACTACCACTACTACCACAAAGCCACCTTCCCTCCTCACCCCCGCATCTCCATCAACACAAAGATGGAAAACTTCACCATCAACCTCTCCAACCTCCACGTCCCCTCCCTCGCGGAGTTCCCGCATCTCCCGCCCGCCGACGACTCCCCGGCGCAGAAGCGCCTCTACTGGTTCTTCCGCGGCCTCGAGTCGATGCTCGAGCGGCACCTGTGGCGCATGGAGCCGTGGCTGGATTTCCTGAAGACAACGGGGCTGCATGAGGACGAGGTTGCGGAATTTGAGGAGCTTTGGCGCCAGAAATGCGTGCTGGAGGATGCGGTTAATTGGGCGGGCAGACTGTATGGTGGGGAGGGGTATGAGGATGCGGTTTGATGTTGTAAGTTTTATTGTTGGTGACATGAATTGGTGCGGTTTCGCTAATTCGGCTTCAGGGGTTTGGGGATTCTGGGCGGGCGTGAGAGGGAGAGAGGCGTTTAGGAATGTGTTTTGATACCCAGGTTTTGTTTTTTCGGTGGGCGTTTGGGCTGGTGGTGGGATTGAGGTTGGGGGGTTAGTAGATGCGGCAGCTATGATGAGCGTTAGCCCGCGAATGAACTTGATTACTCTTGCATTTTGACTTGCCATTGATGTCGTGTACCTGAGATGTATCCAGTGTTTTTGTGTTGGACTATCTCTCAACCTCCGCCTCTACGTAGTCATCATGTACCATTGACATACTTGAGAACGCCAGTTTGAGGACACCATGTCTTCGACGGCATGCTTCATACTCCTACGAAGACGCTTAAATCTCACACTGACTACCTCCCCGCGACACAATCCATAAACTTCCATCGCATAAAAATACATCGAAGGCACACAAGCCTCACTCAACAATTCACACAACATCAGACCAATCCAGACAAACACCAATGTCAATAGCCATATACTAGGGTATCACACAATCCAAACGCCTCCTAGTACGCTCAAACCCCCAAAATTCACATACCCATCTCCAACAAAACCCCAGCTTACTTCCTACCCTCCCCCTCCCCCTCAAACATCCACCTATCATCCTCCAAACTAGCCACCTTCTTCTTCAGACTACTCTTCAACGCAGCCCGAATCTCTTCCTCCACAGCAACAGCATCCCACTGTGCGTTGGTCTTGCCGTACAGTTGTATCATTTCGTTTTCTTGCTCTGTTCACATGCACATGTCAGCATTCTCACCATACCACCTCACACCATTCTCCGTGTTCTCTTCCGGAGAGTGGGAATGGGAGTGGGATCAACATACCACCCTCCTCATCCCCCTCACTGCCTACACCCATTTCCCTGTACACAGGCGCCGGCGCTTTGACAATGTATTCTCCGATGTCGTCGCGCTCGACGAACTCGTCTTCGGTGGGTTGCATGAAGATGTCTTGTTCTATTTCGCGGCTGTCGGGGCGGATGGAGGGTGCGGCATGGTTCTGGCGTCGCGCGGGTTGTTGTTGCGGTTGCGCCTGTTGTGGTTGGGCGGTGTGGGCGGCGAAGATGTTGCGGCGGGTTGTTGGGGGGAGGCGGATTGCGCGGTTGTCCATGGTGGGTTGGTTGTATGGGGTTATGAGGTTGAACAGGTGTTTTGTTCAGAGAGGTGTAAGGCGGGATGTGGAGTGAGGTTGGATGTTGATGGTGTTCTGGGGTTGGTGGGATGGATGGCGCGCCGTAGCTAGTCAGGTACAAGCGTTTGGTGGGGGCGGCTGGGGTTTGGCATTGCGACACTCCCGCGGCGAAACCTGAGGCGCGTCTTCGTGACACCGACAGCAAACAACGGAATCATGGCCAGCTCAATTCCAGCTGCAGCTTCTACCGATCTTCCTGCACAATCACCAAGTCCACCGGCGGACACAGAAGATAGATCGCCGCCCCGGAAACGGCCCAGAACTCGCGCGCCTCCAAAAGCAGCTGCTCCTGCCTCGACTACGGCGACGACTACAGACATGCCGACTGCTAAGAGTGTGGCTCCGGCAGCGGATAACCCAGTTCATCGCTTCTCTATACAGCCTGTCAACCGCTTCCGCGGCGCTTCGGCCAAGATAAAGCGCCCTCGTGAAGTCGCACACTTCTCATACGACGACAATCACGAGTACCAGCCTGATGAGTCGGGCATCAACTACTACATACCACCCCCAATGGGCGCAGATCTGAAGGAGGGCTTCGAGACGTTCAAACACTATGAAGACAAGGAAGATCCCCATCTGGACAGTCTGCTGAGGGCGCTCATGGAAGACAAGACGGGCAAGGAGGAAGTCAAGGCCGACTTCATGACCTGGCGAGGCATGATGACCAAGGTATGTTGAAGCAGGCCGAAACAAGACATAGCAAGGTAAGCGAAACCAGCTTTCTTACCTTGCTGCTGCTTTGAATTCACCTCAGTTACTAACACCCCCAGATAATGACCGCCCCCTTCGACAACTTCGCCGAATTCAGCATGTTCGCAACCCGCCACAACAACACCATCTACATCGAAGAAGACTTCCTCTCCCGAGCCGCCGACCGCGCAGCAGAAAGCACCCGCCCACCTCCCCGTCACCAACATCCCGACCAGCAATCGCGCGAAATGATGACATACTGGGGCTACAAGTTCGAGAAACTCGCTCTCATACCAACGCTACCGCAAGACACGCCACAGCAAGAAATTGAGCGGTCCCAGAAAGGCGTCGTGTCGAACCACGCACAACACTGCTCCATCGTCCACACATCCTTCGGGCCCCATAGCCTCATCCTTGGCGGCGAAGTCGACGGCCTTCTTGCACCCAAACCCACGAACCCGGATGAGCAGGTACAATGGGTCGAACTCAAAACAAGCGAAGAACTTCCTCCCCCTCGCCAACAACAACACCGCGATATCCTCAAATTCGAACGCAAGCTTCTCAAATTCTGGGCCCAGTCCTTCTTGCTCGGCGTACCTAAAATCACCGTGGGCTTTCGGAGTAAAGCAGGCATTTTGAGGAGTCTACAGACGTTTAGCACGCATGAGATACCGGGTATGGTACGTCAGGGCACGGGCTGCTGGGACGGCAATGTGTGTATCAATTTCGCGACGGAGTTTCTGGGATGGCTGAAGGAGATTGTGGTGGGGGAGGGGGTGTGGAGTGTTGTGCTGAGGAAGAAGAGCGGGGTTGTGGAGGTGAGGAGGGTGGGTGATGGGACGGGAGATATCGTGAGTAAGGAGTTCAAGATGTTTAAGAGTAAGGGGTCGGAAGCTGCGCAAGACGGTGGAGGGAAAGGCGAGGTGCAAAAGGATGGAGGTACTGCGGAGCATGCTGTGACATCTTGAATGCGTATCTCGGCTATGGCTTCAAGAGGGGTTGTGTGGGTAGATTTACAGTCCAATCTGAAGGGCGAAGTTGCTCATCTCGTCACGTGCAACGACGAAACCATGGTTACCATGAGGAGAACAATTCTGTTCCACCAAGGTGATTCTGAAGTTCGCGTTCGTTCTCGTTCTTTTTACACATAACCAGTCTGCACCAACCCCCAATACACAATCAAACCCAGTTATTCTGAACCTACATTCAAAAATATACAACGCCAGACAACTACATCACCTCTAATCTGAACGCCTTATCTTAAATAACCCCAACGTATACCCCTAACCTCAAAGCAGTGCGTTCCTGTTCGCCCCCGTATTCCCTATAACAATACCTAAATCACTAGAATCATCCACAATGCCACCCACCCACCCCACCTCCTTACGGCGTCCCCGTACCCGTACCCGTCGCTTCATCCCCACCCCCTGCATCCACCCCGAAGCCCGCCTACTCAACCCTGATATTCTGCAAAGTATGGAGAAGGCATCAGCCACAACCATCTCCCACGAAATGGCACAGGGGGACAATAGGGCAGACATCAACCAAGTCACCCACCAGCAACCCCAGCAACCCCAGCAACCCCAACCAGACCCCCAACTCCAGCACATCGACAACCTCTTCGAACGGTGGGATAGAGCGGTGGAGACGCAGAAGGAGTTTATGAGGTGGATTAACGGTGTTGAGAACGAGAGGGAGGGGGAAGAGGCTAGACGGGTGTGTGATAAGGTCGCGAGTGAATGGGAGGACTTGGGCGAGGTTTATGAGGGAGAAGGGGGTTGGTATATTTTTGGTGAGAGGGAGGGTGGGGGGTTAATGAGGTGGGTATTGAAGAGGAGGGGGGTGGTGTAGTCGTTGGTTAGCTGGAGGGGAGAGGAGGGGAGGGGTGGTATTGTGTTGGACTCATTCTCCTACTACTTCCAAGGTTCTTCGCCCTCCAGCTCATCGATATATGTCTCATCGTCCATGGGTTCCCCTTGCACCCATCGCGCTGCCATTCGTCCTGTCTCTTCTCCTACTCTTTGCGTCCTGCTAGCCGGTACGACGTTCATCCCATGGTTCGCATCGGTAACAACTACAAGCTGCGATTGCGCCGTCAGCTTATCCCTCGTTTCGTTCAGCGTATCGATAGGACACATAGCGTCTTCGTCGCCGCTGATGAAGAGTATGCGGACGTTCTTTGGGAGATCGAGGAGAATCTGGTCCCGCATAACGTCTTTGGGGCCGAGGAGTGGGTAGGAAACGAGTATTAGCTGTATGCTCAATTCTTCTCTTTCCTTGTCATCTAGCGAGGCGAGGTGTTCGCTAGCTGCGATGACAGCAGCTCGAGCACCCATGCTTCGTCCGCCTAGTAACAATGTCTTCGATCCAGCCGTGTCCTCTTTTGCTCCCTTTCGTGCAGTCGATTGACTGGACTTCAGCTCATCAATACATGCGTGGAAGCCCTTTGTCCGCGCTTTGAGGTTCATCGAGCCTTGGAATGCGAGAACAGGGAGAGAAGAGGAGTATCCGGTACAGAAGTTCACTACGGCGTCGGTGGAGAGTGTTCCGCCTGCGCCGTGGGTGAAAATCAGCGTTGGTGGTGGGGTGGATGGCGATGATGTGGGAGTGTATTGGTGGCATTCGATTGGTTTCTTGACGAGGTCGTGTGTGATGGTGAGGTTTGTACGATTCTGGGGTGCTGAGTCGCTTTGTTGATCGGACTGCGCGTCTGCCTCTGGTTTCGCATCCTTTGGTGAACGCTTCTTAGGATTAGCCGCCTGTTGTCCTTTCGACGCCTTTGGTTTTGCCCCAGGCGGTTTGCTTGATGACTCTGGTAAGTCTTTCGCATTTTCTGTGTTTGTTCTGGCAGATGAGCGCGTGACACGCCTTTTGGGCTCGGGTGTTGAAGCTGGCTCGGAGGTCTTGCGGCGTTTTGGCGGCATGTTTGTGATGGCTTAGATGTGCGCACTTGTTTGATTGCTACGGTTCTGATATCGCTCTCAAGTCAGGCTTGTTGCCGCCGATCACAAGAAAGATAGAGTGAGGTTCGTTTGACGAGGGCAGGACTTGGATGCCTCAGGGCCTTCGTTCGCGCGTTGGAAGTCGCTGTGACGTAAGCGACGTTCAGCCGCCCAGCCACTTCCCAGCCCCTGCACTACCTCACGTTGATACCGAATAATTTTCCACATCCGAACACAGTCCAAGGTCAGAAGTTTAACGCAACTGAATACTGGCAAATTTCTCCATCGAATAACAGATCGCCCGCCAATTTATCAACCACCAACACCAACACGGGAAATGCGCCAGCTCATTATGTTTCCTCAACTCTACACGAGCCGCATCTGTCATGGCTGCACACGACGCATTGCGTCTGCCAATCAGATATAGGGCCGTCGCCACAAAGGGAGCAAAACCAGACCAAGTCTTTGCTATATCTGGTGCTGACTGTATACATGCTTGGCGTATACGAAGCAGTCACTGCAGGCGGAGCCGTCGGAGCGCTCCCTTCACTGTTATGGATATCTGCCATTCCGCACATCTCTTTCGTATGATCCTTAGATCCACATTGTGTGCAATTTGTTCTGTCAGGCGTCTCGGGTGTGGGTACAGCTTCATTCGCTAACAGTCCAGTTGTTGCCAGATCATTCGCCGTAGTCGCTGAACTTGTGATCGTGGTGTTGTTCATCGTGCGCAAGACAGTGTTGATCTCCGAACTACTTTCCGGCAACCTTGCTTCCTGCGCGTCGAGGACATTTTTGATGTCATCAAGAATGTCGCAAAGAGGGACCACGTAAGCATCTCCAAGAGCGTCGTCCGCAACCACTTGTCCAAAGACGGTCACCTTGCTGTTCGCTCCTTCAACTGCAGGTTTTGCTGTCGTGCTTTGCGGCCAGATGCTGCGCGCTGGCTCCATCATTTTCGTTGACACCCATGTACCTGACGTGCCTGCTGATAATCCTACACAATGGTTAGTCAGAAGACTCATGTTATAGGTTCCTGCCACTTACTACCAGCGTTGGGCGTTGTAAACGTATAAACCCGCACGAAATCGTTACCATATGGCAAAAGTGCAAACGATGGAAGACGCGATAGTCTTGCGATGAAAGGAGGTTGAAGACTGATATCCATCCCGTCGTCTATCAGCGCGGTACCAATTCCAGGATCGCCTAAGACGTATCTTTCGAAAATCTGGCCATCTTGGATCCCGCTGCCAGCTTGATCCGCTATTCCTGCCAACAAAGCCCAATCGCGATCGCATGCTTGCGTGGAGAAAGACGCTGGCGCGACGTTGGCAACGCCTGACCACTCGATCTCTTCCTGAGAGTTTGTGGCCAGATTGACCATGGTGTTGTGCATCGTTCGGCTCATCGCTGATTCTGGAATCTGTGAAGGGGCAGCGGGTGCGATCTCGGGAAAGAGACTTCGCTCTGCGTTAGGCTCTTCGCCTGCTTGTTCGCTCTCAACTTCTCCTTCGAAGTCGTCTTGAACAATACTATGGCCAGCGGTCAATCCATACAATGACATGTCCTTCTGCTTGTTGACCACGATGATGTAGCCACCCATTGTAGCGTAGCGAGTTCCGCAGATACCATCAATCTTGAGAGGGGTGTTCCTATGTCTACGACGCCCACTAATCGGATGGCCTGTTTTGACCGAGGTTGGATGGAGATGGTGTGATGTCGTTGGTCGTATCGGGTTGCCTTCAACGATCACTTCGAAAGATGCTGGGCCAGCCTTCCCAGGTTGGCAGAGGCGTTTGGAGGTCTCTCTACGGAAGTAGTTTCTGACCAAGTCGCTGACACAAACTGGGCAGAATACGACAATGTAAGGCTTCGCCGAGCTTTCATCTCTACCCAAGACCAGTAGACGTATGGCGAAGGGTCGATAGTTCTTCTTAGATTTGCGTAGGCTATCCAGCAGTGGACCTTTCAGTCGCTGCATGATGTCCTCAAAGTAGAGAGAAGCTTCCTCGTCGGCGTCTTTCTCATATCGCGTTAAGCCTTGAATCGTATCAAGAGGGTTGCTAGAGGTATTGTTGACAGCTGTGACACCTGGAGAAGTTGTCGTAGCACGAGGGGCCTGCATGCTGTGTGTAGAAGAGCACAGATGGGGACGATATCGAAGAACCGAGAAAGCTTGCGACGTTTCAGGGCAGACAACATATTGCGGAGCTCACACAGCCGGTCAGAAGCAAAGCGATCTTCGCTACATTGATGCCTCAGCGCGAGAATCTGCCCGAAAGAGCGCCTTGCCAATCAGCAATTCAATCAGATGATGCAAAGGTGCATCAGTCTGCATGTGTGGCGTCCAATCATGCATCGAAAATTCTCAGCCTCGCATGCGTACGAGAGGGCTAAGCACCAGAAATACGTGGAGCTGTAACGTATCCTTCCTAGACTCTTACAATGAAAGTGCAATGATTTGATCCTCCGATGGCAGTCCCCACCAGCACACCGTTCCTGATGAGCGCAGTCAGTTTCGAACAATTGCAGAAGCTGGGTAAGGCTATGTGGAACTGGACCACCTGCGGCGCATGTAACGGGAACGCGACATGCAGTCGGTCAACTTGTCCATGGTATGGGGAAGCGCGCTTCCACGCATTCTGGGATCGATACAAGGCGTTGACCAACGAATATCTGCCAGAAGGGACCACATTTTCGTGTCCGGCACTGTCATCGCATGACGACCTGCTCCGACTCATTCAAACGATCAAAGACAGCCTGGACCTGGACCGTGAGCGCATAATCGTTTCTCACTTTGCGGTCCCAAATTCAAACGGAAAATTGTGTACAAACGCTGTGGATCAAGATCGAGCGGTGAACATAGCAGCAAGTATCATGTTCATGACGAATTGTGGGACACCGCAAGTTTGCGCGGATTTCCTGGAGGAAGGTGGTCCATCCATTTCCTGGCGCGGCGACGTGACTGCTACAGCGTTTGTTTGCGAAGCCTTCCCACGTACGATCTCTGGTCTTCTAGCGAATGGTCTGGGCGACACCAGAATGTCTGATTTCCTTGGATCGCTGGCTGCGAGCAAACTCGTCAAGGCTGGGTTCAGGCTCGAACCGACTGATGATCTACGCAGCCACTTGACAATGGACTACAGTGGAAAGAGAAAGGTTGTCCGGATTTTCCACTGTTCTGCCGTATTGAAGGAGATGCTGTCAGCAAGTCGACCGGATGGGAGTCGCTGCTTGGTCCCACGATCGCTCGCCCTGGAAGTCCTGTACACACTGTACAACATTCTATTTCCCGACGACCGATCTGGTACATACGTTACAAAGTGCGGCTTCGACCCAGATGTATTACGATGCGATGTGTCCCGATACCGGCGGAAAGACGACCCCGAGGTAGACCACACCTACTTCGGTACTCGCCTCAAGGAGATCTACGACGAGATGCAGAACCCAACTCCTCGCCATGACTGGGCAAATTGGTTTCATCGACACAGTGCGCAGCGATACATGATGATGGCAACGATGATCGGAGTCTTCATCGCGGTAATCATCGGAATCCTTGGCCTCGGAATCTCGGGTTTCCAGGCTTACGTGTCGTACCAGCAGTGGAAGCATCCTGTAAAGGATGCATGAATGGAGACGTATGTTTCGAACGTGGAACAGGCGGTGACGGATGCGTAGAGACTTTCCCCGATGGATTTCGGTGATGGCACGATGCCGAAAGACAGAGAAGAGAAATGGGATGGTGGGGAAAAATGGGTGGCAGGGAGGAACAAGCGAGATGGCAGCCGCACCCGCGCATGCGACGCGGCTCCTCGAGATAGCACGAACATCGTACTACTTACGACTCACGCACGACAACGACTCACATACTGCATGCATCAGGCAGCAGTGCGTACGATACTTCCCTTGAGTGACAAGTATACTGAGTAGCTTCTATCTTTTTATTCTGACTCGGGAGCCGGTTGAGACCCAATGCTATGACAGTTCCGCGAAACGACCGAGGACCATCAGATGTATAGTCATCCTCATTTTACGAATTGTCGGTCAATGACAAATGTCACAGTGTTGCCAGAAATCCGGTTTGACTTTGTTGAAACTTCCTCAATCATGCGAGGTATCACTGATCAGCTCTTGGCCATCACATCTGGGCATCAACAAAGCCACGAAGCCGGTTTCCTACGGCACTCTATAGGGCTAGGTACGGTACTTTGTGAAAAGAAACTCCTCGTATTCGTCTCCACGATGCCCGTTAAAGCAAGTTGTTTCATGGCGATCTCAATAGAGGAATGCAAAGTCCCGAAGCAGCGTCGGAGTCTCCATTACTCGCCGGCTTCGTATCGCACCCTCGAGTCGCACTCCAGCTCTATGCAACGCAAACTTCCATATCAATAGGCGGGATAAAGATCCGACGAATAGGAAGTCTACCCACAAAGGTGACTCGCAGCGATGCGCCGGCACGAACAATTTACGTCTCAACTGCCATTGCCAAGCACTAGCACATAGGCGTCCAACTCCTCCCTTCCAACAACCCGTGCCATCTTCCCCAAATGTATATACATTTATCCGTCCAAAGGATCAAGATCTCACTCGGATCTATTTCAAGCCACCCCGTCCTGCACAGCATTCTCGCACAGAATGCCTGGTTCAGTAATCCCTTTGTTAACCCACAATGGCCCTTGCTGCTCGCTTCGCTACCATCACTACTGATTGGCCCGGCTACCGCAGCTCGCGAATCGAGATCCTTTCATCGATGTGCAATGCAGATAATGATAACGGCAGACGGGGCGTTGCGGCACCGGCTAGTCGAGATGTGATAGCGATGATGTGATGATGGTTGTTGTTCATTAACGGAGGGTTCCCCGGCTAGCTGGGTTGGACTGCGCAGCGGCATGTGATGTTATGCCGTGTCTTTTAGCGTAGGAATGCGGCGTAGTGATGATTTTGTGATCATTCTTGAGGTGAGAATTCCATGTTCGGGTCGTTAAGAAGTCCATGTCTAGGATAGCCATGTAGTTATCGTGTTTCGAGGTTAGGTTTGCAGGAATAGTCGTACGATTGCGCAGCCCAAGCCGAACCGTTGAGAACAACGTATGATAATGCACCGGGTGGATGCATGCGATTTGTTGAGTGAGGTCATTGAAGCACAGTGTTGGATTATATGATTGATTTATCTGATTCGTCGCGCGTATCCGCAGTGTTTAGGGTTAAGTGGTTGCTACTATGGAGCACTAGCTACATGCATCGGGTTATAGTTGTACAAGGGTATGGCGGTAATGAAGAAGCAGAACAACGCGAACAAGAAGAGATTCATGCAATGCAGTGCGACTAGGTATCGTAGACGACCATGCGGAATAGAGGAAATAAGGTGCTTTTGGTATTAGAGCCACCACAAGAGACAGAATGAATGAAACACGTATACAGAATTCCAGTAACATAAACAAGGAGAGCGAAAGATCCAACTCCGACTGTATCCATAAGGAAAGTGGGTAACCAGTTACCGCGGGGTGCCAACATGCAGGTATTGAACAAATACCGCCTTCGCCAAAGGAAATGTCGCTAAGGGGGTATCGCAACCAAATCATCCTCCATGAATGTCTCGTATATGCTCTGTAGATCGTGGGTATATCTCGGTAAATGTGTGAAATGATGCAATGCGACGGCACCCTAATAACCATGGGGCGCGTTAGATGTGTACTTTTGCTCGGGGGCGTACTTCTGGTCCGTCACGTAATAAGAGTGAGGATGGGGAGCCGCTGGAAATTGCGGCGCGTTGAATGGCTGCACGGCTACAGGCGCTGAAGCCCTCCTTTGTTGGTCGGGTTGCGATCCGGGGACCTGAGCGTGATGAGGACCGACTGGCGAGTCTTGGGAGGGCAAGGCATGAGCGTCGAAGCCCGCGGACTGAGGCAGAGCGTACGGAGCTGGTTGCGGCGTCTGGTATGCCGAGGTGGGCTGAGTATACGAGGTCGCTGATGTGGCCGACGGAGGGTCGAAAGAGTAGTGACGCGCAGACTGTGGTTGCGGCGCGTAGTGCGAGGATGGAGCAGCGTGTGAGGAGTACTGAGAGCTTGCGGAATGTGGGGAAGAATATTGCTGGGGAGATGGCGGATGCGCGTAGTGCTGCGACGGAGGCTGCTGGACGGAGTATTGATGTGCCGGTTGGTGGGCCGAGAATGGAGGCGCGGCATAATGTTGGGGGCTGTGGTGGCTAGAGCCATACTGGGACACCTGAGGCCCATGCCAGTAGTCGGGAACTGTTAGGTGGAGAGGAGCATGTGTCTGGAGCTGGCCCTGTGCGCCGATTGACTGGGTAACAGCTCCAATAACGTGGTGCTGGACATGGCTGGGCTGGATGTGGTGCGGGTAGCCAGCTACCAGGGGCATGTCTTTGCTCTCTTCATCTTCAAGGCTGACCTTCCAGCCATTCAGAAGCTCCGGTCTTGGCTGAATGTCGGCTAGCTTTGGGTCCTGGAATGGTCGCTTCAACTTCCCGCTGACGACGTCCTCGAGACTGTAGTAGGAGATGACGTGGTGGTGGGTACCCTGGTACTTGACTGAGATAGTCTTCTTCATCAGACCGCCCTCCTTGAACTCATAGCTGTCGATGAGGGAGCCACAGAATCGTCGCTGTTGGTCGGGCGTCAAGCTTTGGGCGAAGTTGGCGTAAACCTTGTTCATGGAGTCGACATCGCCTGGCAGGGACGCGTCGAAGGCTGAGGTCTCGTATTCGTCCTCGGAGTTCTCCAACACTTCACCAGTCTTGGACCTCATTGGGCCGTTGTTCTCCTTGCGCTTCCTCTTGGTACCGCACGACGGGTTGAGGGCCGACTTCTTCTCTTCAGGCTTCAAAGCTCGCACCAGCTGGCGATATATGAGGCAGTTGTTCATCACCCGACTAGGGGACCAGTGCACAGCATCGGTCCATCGTTTGATACCGGAAGCGTTCTCCTCGTACACCAAGACGGTTCCAGAAGTGAGCATCTCTGCGCGTTCCTTATCATGCGGCCTGCGGCTGATATGGCTGAGACGGCCTTGAAGTGCGGCCTCCACAACGGTCATGGCATCTTTGGTGGTATCGAGGAATCCCTGCCACGTTGGCTTGAAAGCCGGCTGTGCTTTGACCAT